CCCCCTGTGAAAATCTAGTTAAGAAAATCTAGTTACCAGGGGTTCTATGAATATTAATGAATAAATGCAAAATGCTCTAAAATGAAAAGTGCTATGAATATAATGAAGAATTCTGTTATTATTTACAAACTAATTGGTTTTTATGAAACAAATGAACAATTATTTTGTCCTTTGGAAGACTTTCCTAAAAACAAGGGATACAATTTTTATTCTTAAACAATTTTTTTTGAGACATTTGGGGTTAAGTGACTTCCCCAGGATCATGAAGCTATTAAGTGTCAAGTGTCTGAGGACGATTCTGAACTCAGAACTCCTGATTCCAGGGCTGGTACTCCATCCACCATGCCACCTAGCTGCTCCTGGGCTTAAACTCTTTTTAAAAACTCATTTTCAGTAGCTGAAAAAAATATTACTCTGTCAACAAATCTAAAGAATTATGGTTTCAAAATAAAATTACATGATTAAGATAATGAAATTTATCATTAGCATATACTTAACAAAGTGATATGCTCATCTAAATCTATCTAGAAAAGTTCCATTTTTATCAGGCATTGTACGAAGTCCGAAGAAAAACCTACATATATGTACATATATACTGAACATTTACTGAACTATACTAAAAATTACACACATATATGCATATATATGTGTATATATATACCTACATATATGTCATCAATCTAGAGTTCAGATGGTGTGGTATAACACAATGTCTGTTTTGAAATGATAAAGATTTCCAGGAATAAGAGGCAGGTTCCAGAAGAAATAGTTCATGCATACTCAAACAAAAGGAAAAAAAACCCAAACATTATTGAGTAAATTCGATGTTCTATACCTGGACGAAAAAAGTTAAAAAATATCAACCCCAGATGGCCCATCCTTGTGGTCATTATTCTCACACACAAATTCCAGTGTTCTTCATGAAGGTCCAAAGAAGTAAGCAATATTTTGTAAACTGTTAAAAAAAAAACCCAAAACTCTAAAATACATCATTAAGCTTTAAAATATCCCATTCCCCATGCCCTACCTCCCATTTTTTAAAAAATGAGAACAAACAAAGCAAAGGATCTTCAATCCTGGTTCTGGGATCTCAGATTTGGCTCAGTATATGTGTTTCAAATCTCATTAATTACAATATTGGCCCCATGAGATGCAGTTGCTGCTGCAAAGAACACTCTTTGTACTCAAAATGATTTGAGCAAGGGCAAAGAAGCATTTTATTTACATGTGTAAACACTTAAAGGAAAACAGAACAGACACATTCAACTTTATGAAACTACAGAGTTGTTTTAATGATAATTTATTTGATTACTTAAACTTTAAGATTACTGTACACTGTGTAGTTATATTTTTGTTTTGTGTATTTATTATATGATAACATTCTTGTAAAGGTAACTGTGACATTAACTTGGCAAATTCCGAACGAAGACCTTTTAGCATTTTGTTCTTTCCAGATACTAAGACCAAATTGTTCTGAATTCCATATCCCACTGTGCAGGTCTGTAATTTATTTATTTTGGGAATACAAGAAAATGTGCCACTACCCAAAGGCCTCTGTACATGTACCAAATTTGAGTCAAAACCAATAAAATGAATAAATTAAATAATGGTCAGTAAACATCCCTTCCATTATTCTTTCTCCTTCTCCTTACCTTAAACTTCAAAAGGTAAGCAAAAGTGATTGAACCATCTGGGAGATCTGAAGCTGTGGGTATATGTTGTTATGTATGGTGAAATTTTGTATATATCTTAACTATATGTTTTGCCCATACAGACATCCTCCATGTAAAGTTCATACAGCATAATCAATCCCCACCCTCAGGTTGGGGATCAGCTCAGGCCTGATGTACACTTTGATCCTTGTGTCTTCACTCATGAGTAGAGAAGGAGAACAAGGAGAAGGAGTCTGAGGAGAAGGAGGGCTTTGGTGAGGAGGACAAGGAAGAAGAAAAGGAGGAGGAGGAGGAAGAGGAGGAGGAGGAGGAGAAGAAGAAGAAGAAGAAGGTTCTCATATGAAAGTTATTATTCTAGATGGATCTTAAATTAGAAGAGTTAGGAAATCCCTGGGAAAAAAAAGAGCTCCTTCCATTCCCCATTCCATGCTGTTTCTGGACCCTGCTTTTTTGCCTTATAGCCAGCCACTCCCTGTCCTAATCCCTTAATTCTGTTGGCTTTCAGCTCGAAACATCAGTAGTCCCTCTGATAAATTGTGTAGCTCTATACCTTGTGTCAGTTAGAATTCTGCCCAATCCAGCCTAGCCCAGCTTAATCCAACTTTATCGTAGTTTGATGTCTCTGCTCTTGTAGTCTGCTCTTTGGCTATCTGACCCTGGAAGGTAGCTTCCATTTATAACATTGTTACTTGAAGCATTGCTTTACCTATTAATGATCAATCATTATTTAAAACCAATTAATGACTTTGTGCTGCTTTTTTCTACACTAGCAAGAGGTGCTATTTGCCACAGATTGCTTCAGTTGTAATGTTTACATTGTCTGCCATGAAGATAGCCAAAATATATGTACCACAGTCTTTGATCTTCTGCACAAACATGACAAATCAATCTCTCTCTTTCTCTCTCTCTCATTCCTCATATATATATATATATATCCAGGTCTGAGGGCAAAGATAGTGGCTAATGTGGTTTTTGAATCATTGAAAACCAGTGGGCTTTTCGATTTTCAGGGGAAATAATTTCTTCTGCAGGTATAGGCATGAGGATGGGATGGCAGCCAGAACTCTTCTCCCTGAAATCCAAGAGCAACAGCCTATAGGGTTCCGTGGCTGATGGACCTGTGGGTTAAACCCATAATTTTCTGGATAGGAGTCAATGGAAATCGAATATTTGAACACTGGTTAAATAGTATTAACCTGATGATAGACTTTGAGGAAGCAATAGCAGCCTTAAGAATCTGGTAGTTTTGGCCGAAAAATGAAGAGGAGGGAGTTACTGGTTTGATCTACCTCATTACATTTCTTCTGAATCTGTACTTATTGACCTCAAATTATATTACACAGCAATCAAATAGGCCATCAGAGATATGAAGGATGCTCATATTCTTACAAACAGCAAACTTTTTTCTTCGCTACTTCTTACATTTTCAAGTGAATGTGATTTTTCACCTTAGTTTTATACTCCTTTTTTCTATTTGCATATTTTCCCTTTTTTCAACTCTTTTTTTAAAACATAATTTCCTACATTACTCCCTTATTTTCATTCTTTATTCTCAGAGGAGGAGATCTCCCTGCTTATTTAGAGGCAGCCTTGCTATGGCAGAGTTGGCTTTCCAGCCAAGATGAGTTTTAAGTCCTACCTCTCAAAACTTATTGGCCCTTTGACCCTGGTCCATTCCTGCTCTAGCAACTCTCTAAAAATTCTAAATTGCAGAGAGGGAATTTCCTCATCCAAGAGCTCCCTATATCAATGAAATTACAAATGCTGTTCCTAACCCTATTCTCCTTTATTACTATGCTATCCTTGTTTCTTGATTCAATTCTATTCCTTTCATTTTTGTTCATTTCTTATTCCCCGCGGCCCCCCCCCCAATTTCCTCCTTTTCCCTACTCTCCATATACTTGGTCTTTGTTACTTCCTATTTCCCAAGTATGGTTGATTTATGCTTGGTGGAAGGCCTCCTTTCTGCTTCTGCCTCTCTCCCTCTCTTTCCAGTTGCCCTTCCTCACCCTTTTATTGCGATTTTATTCCTGTCCCTTCCTGCCAATCTTCCCTACAATCCCATTTCTTTCAGTTCCATCTATCTGTCTATGCATTTTTATGTCCATGCTAAGTGCTTAAAGCTAGATATCAGGAATAGCCAGGAATTCCCCCCACCCCCCCCCACCCCCCCCGCTTTTTGTGTTGCATCCCTCACCCTCCACTCCAGCTCTCCACCTTCTCTGCCGGTCACCCCCACACCCCCACACAAGGTCTCTTCTCTCCAGCTCTTTTTGCACATTTGCACCCAGCCTCATTTCCCAGCCGGGGATTTCAGCTGGAGACGAGATCCACTGGAAATTGGCTTGTTGTGTGTGTGTGTATGTCTTTTTAAACTTTTCCCACATATGCAGAATTAGGATGAGCAGGGTGGTTCCAAAAAGGACAATTCCCCCTTATTTTGGGGAGAGCTCTTTTGAGCCCAGCTTCCCAGTATCTCGGGCCTGGCCCCAGAGGCCATCTCCGGACCTCGGGTGGCTTCGCCCACGCCTGGGGGCCAAAATTCACGTGTGCCAGGGGGTGTGTGTCACAGTGCCCCCCTCACAGCCCCCGGGGAGGATGGAAGCGCCGGGCAGGGCCCCGGGGAGGCCTCCTCGGGCCTGGGACCAGGCTCCGGTCCGGGGTGGGCCAGGGGTGGGCGCCCCAGGCTGGGGAGAGGCGCTGGCGGGGGCGAATCACGCCTCACGTCAGCCGAGGCCTCCGGGAGCCGGGCTGGGGGAGCCCTGGGTTGGGGGTCGACTCCCCAGGACGGGCAGCCTCATGGGGTGTGGGGAGAGGCGTTTATCCCCCGTTTCCTTGCTCTCCCCTGCCTATGTTCCTAGGGCGCAGCGGGGAGCCCCGGGGGTGGGCTGGGGCCGCTTGTCTGTCGGGCGCCCCAGAGTCTGGGGGCCGCGTCCGCTCCGGCTCCGCCGGCTCCTGCCTGTGAGACTCCAGGCCGCACTTTCCCCTCCTCCCGGCGCCTTCTCTCCAGTGAGGAGCCTCGCGCGGGCGGCGCGGGGGGAGGGGCGGCGGTGGAGGGAACAGCCAGTTGTTTAAAATCCTTCTAGAGCAGTTTCTAATTCCCCCCTTGCGCCGGGGTTCGGAGGGGAAGGGGGAAGGAGAGAGGGAGGAGGGAAGGAGGAGAAAGAGAAGGAGGGAGGGAAGGAGGGAGAGACGGCGGCTTTGGCTGTTGCCGCCACCGCGCGCTACAGAACGTCGGGAGAGGTGGGGGGTGGAAGCTGTCAGTCTCGCTCGTTGCCTAGGCGAAAGAGGCGGGGTCCAGGCCTGGGGCGTCCAATGGTGGGGGTGGCTGCGTGGGTCGCCATGGGGACGGGGCTGTTCCCGGGGAGGCTGTGATGGGTTGACAGGTGCGTGACAGTGGGAGCTGCTCTCGGCACAAGCATGTACGGCAAAGGCAAGAGTAACAGCAGCGCCGTCCCGTCCGACAGCCAGGCCCGGGAGAAGTAAGTGTCGTCTCTCCTCTTTACCACCACTCCCCACACCCTCTAGCCTTCACACCCTCACGGGGGTGGGATGGGAGGGGGAAGGGTACGAGGAAGGGGGATGGGGGTAGTGGCTGATTCGGAGGCACTCGGGCGAGTAGGGCGGCAGTGGGGGGCTGTCGAAGGAAGCGACTGTGTGTCGGGGGGTGGTGGTGGGGATGGAAACTTGTTCGGATGATTGAGGGAAATCATCCGTTGGTTTATCTGCTCACAAAGTAACTTTGCAGCAGGGCTCCAGGGCTGCAGATACTAAAAGAGCAGCCCTGAGGTGGGGGGAGTAGAGGGTGGAGGGTTCTGCACCTCAAATCGGGGAGAGGGTGCGGGTATGCGAGAGAGAGTTGGGGTATAGAGGTGAGGACCGGGTTAGGGGAAAGGAAGCTTGGGCGGGGAGTGGGAAGGTACGGGGAGGGCGCAATAGTTCTGGGTGACGGGCTCAGGAGGCTGGGAATGGGGGCGCGTGCTTGGGCTGAGGGTCCTGGAGAAGCAGGGGTGGAGGAAGGAGGGCAGAGGGGCTAGCGCTGGTCCTCCGGGGCCGGGCAGGCTGCGGTGGGAAGGCGTGCTTGGCAGCAGGATTAAGGGGCAGGTAGAGCCTGCTGGCAGGGGTCACATCGTGGGAGGACTGGGCAGGAGATGAAGATGTTTGGGCAGGATATTGGGGGGGAGGAGGAGGGGGAGGATCATGCTCTTTCTCTGCCGACGTCCTGGGGATGTTCTGTGCTTTAAAAACAAAACCAAACCACAAAATATTATGAGGTGGGGTAGGGGATAAGGAGAAAAGGTGGATTATAAGTTTGGTAGTTTTTGTTTTCTTTTTTAAGACCGAGTTAACTTGGGGAGGGGTCGGGCATGGGGGGAAGCATGCCTTAGGGAGGAGGAACCTCCTTGTGGAGGTTGTTAGTGTTTTTGCCCTCACGTAGCAAACCCAATTCTGCTGCCGGTAGCCGAGAACTTTTTTATGGAGACTTTATGTCTCTGAAATGTCAGGGGAGCCGCGACAGCCCTGAGTTGGGGGGGGGGGGCGGCGGCAGCAGCAGGGGGTGGCTGTTGGCTGAGAGGTTTGCAGACGGGGGAAGCTGTTGATGTGGAGTGGTGTTGGGGAAGGTGGATGGATTTGGAGGGGTTGGCAAAGCGGGATTGTAGTGGTGACTGTGGTCGATACAGTGTAAAGGAAAGCTGTTTGTGGCAGCAGTGGGGTGCAAAGGGGTGCAGGCACCCTGGGAGCGTGAAAGGCAAGTTGTTGGAGGGGCGGATGCTTATAGGCGAGTTCATGTGGTAGTGGAAGGGGAGGTAGCAAGGAAGAGGGTTTTTGTTGTTGTTGTTGTTGTTTTGTTTTTGAGGTTTTGTAAAAGCCCTCGCCATTGGGAAGAGCTGTTTGGTCAGGGTTGAGGGGGAGATACAGGTGTTCGCTCCAGTGGTGACTGTAGGGAAGTCGAGTATGAAAAGAGGGCCCTATGACTCGTGGATGTCAGGCTTTATCAACTGCGGCGCAAGGTTGCTGCCCGCTATTCATATGTACTTGTAAGGATGATTTGAACGTTACTAAAAATGAACAGAATAGGCTGTTGGTAAAGAGGAACAGACCCTTCTTTTCTCTGGGTTTGAGTGGTGCAGAGAGAGAAAGGGAGATGCTCAGTAAGCGCCCCATAACCCTATTGGTGGGGTTATTCTAGTTTATGCCACGCTTGATAGGGACTCAGGGAGGAGGTGAAATAATTTGGGAACAGCTAAGGAAATGTACTTTGGCTGTTGAGCCAAAGTTAGTGCATAATAATCGTAGCTGTACAAATAAAGTGGAAGGCTCAGATGTGATTGAGCTTCCCTCCCTTGCGCAGCCTTCTCCTGAAAGTTCCCTTTACCACCAGGATAGGAAAACCTAATCCTCTTGCTGGCAGCAACATACACAATTTCTTAGGGGAGTTCTTAGTAAAAGGCCTTCGTGTTACAGAAATATTAAGAGAGTGCCTGCTTAAAGAGATGCTACAGTTTTCGATGGAGATATTTTTTTGAGTAGCTGTATGTAGTCTCGAGGTAGTAAGCCCACAAAGGTGCAAGGGCATAATTAACAAACAGCAGTTCCTGAGATTGGAGTTTGAAACAACCTATGCTATGAGTTAATCAGTTGGTTTCAATACGTAATGAAAAAATACTTGTTTGGAAGTTCGTTTTTGTTCATTAAAACAGATTTGCCTCTGCGATGATTATACAGTTATCTATATTTTATACTCACTTATTGGGGTCGAGGACTTGATCAGTTTTTTTTTGTATTATTTCATTTGTCTTGTGGAATATATGAAGCACAAGTAGGAATACATGAATTCATATATGAATATATGAATTATATTGGGTTATCAGCTATAGACTCCTGGAAAGGAATGCATTTTAGATGCATCTAATCTATACTCTGAAGCATTTGTGAAATTTTCCTTTCCTGAAGTTTTCATTTTTTCCTTATTTTCCCCCTCTTTTACGTTTTCTCCTGTTACTCTATACAAATATGCATTTAGTAAACTTTTACTATATGAAAACAAACATTGATTTCTAATTAGTTTTGCTGTTGGAATTAGCTTAGTTCTATAGTCCTAAATTACTACCCTTGTAAGCAAAGTTATGGGGGGCCTGCTAGATGGTGCTATTTGATTTAAATACATTCCTTCTCCCATTCATTGAAATTGGCATCAGGGATTCTGGCCTTCCTGAAGGAATTTGCTTTTTGTACTAAATTCAGGTGGGTGGGTCACTTCCAAACTACTGACAGTAACTACTGCAGAATGTTAATTTTTATTGCATTAAGTTTTAGCTGAACATTGTTTGAAACTGGGGGAAAACAGATTACTGTGGCAATTTCTGTTTTAAAGCATATACCTAGCTGTTTTTTTAGTGGATTTTTTAAATTGATGGATTAAGCCTAAACATTCAATTTCCTCATTCTGTAATTTGTGATTGTTTAATTTGGATTTTTATTATGGTATCAACTTACTAAGTGTAACAACTTTCTGAGGTTGGGAATATGAACTTCTGTTGGAGAGTAGAGATACTACCAGACAGACTTCAATGGTAAAGGGTGCTTTAGCAAAGAAAAATATATTGTTTCAATAGAGGCAATGTGCAGTAGTCCAGATCCTAGATCCTAGAGTTGGGTATTTCATAGGTAGTATGAAGAGAAAACTGAAAAAATGAGTTGTTCTAAACATGAGTATGAGATAAAAGGCATGTTTTATGATTTGCTGAGAAGCGTGTTTTCTGGCTGAAGTCTGCAGCATTCATGCTGATAGTGGATAACTGATAAATGCTCATGCATACTTAAGTTTTCTTTTCCATCAGGAAGTCCCTATTTGAAGTACAATACTTAAAAAAAAATTCATAGGATTTAGGGTCAGAGTTTCTTAAGTTGTATAGTTTAAATATGAAACTGTAGCCACTCTTCTAAATGTAGTAAAGGGTAGGATTTAATTAATATGTGTGTTTTTTCTACAGCAGATTGAATTTACAAAGAGATTGTTTGAATTAGTCTTAATTATGTTTATGTGGTTAGAAATTCTCAGAAGAAAAAAGAAACAATAATTGTACCATAATCTTGATTCTGCATTAGGAATTTATTAAGAATATCAGAAGACTTATGTGAGTGCAAAAGTTGTTTTTTCCCAGTGACCATAAAAATAGATATGCAGCATTTTGGTTCTTTTTACAGTATTCATTTAGAGATTCCTTACTCAATTTTTTTTTATTGGACCTGTGATTTCAACTGTGTAGGGAGCTCCTACTGAGAAGCTTTCTTTACCAATACAGGTCATCAATTCCTTTGCAATTTAGGGTCTTTAGAATTAAGTTATCTCACTCGATGAGAGATTCAGTGACTTGCCCAGGGTCTCTCCTCTGTATGGATCAGAGAAGTGAGACAAGCCTCTAAAGCTATCTCTAGTCACTGCACCATACTGCTTTATTAAGTACTTATTTAATTAATTTAATAAACACTTGATGTAGGGTGTAAGGTTACAGGATAAGAAGTTTCAGGCTTTACACAAATTGTAGTGATAAGGGTTGTTCTGGTGTGACTATATACATTGCTACTCAAAAATTCATAACATCTGATAAAGTTACCAAGTAGTGGAAAAACCCCTCCCTCCTTTCCCCCAGATTTGGAATCACAGGTACTGGTTTGGGTAAATCACTTAACCTCTCTAGGCCTCTGTTTCTCCATCTGTAAAATGAGAGCAGGACTAGATGACCTCTAAGATCTCTTTATGGTCCTAATGTTTATACTAATGCTAGTCTGTTCTTATGGTTGTGATGGAAGTTGGGTGTGTGTGTGTGTGTGTGTGTGTGTGTGTGTGTGTGTGTGTGTGTGTGCTCGAGAGGTGGTTTACAGAGTAACTCTTAGGAAATTTCAAAATTTTGTTGCAGACAAAGATAAAAACCTAATGATGAGGAATCCCTATTTCTTTTTTAAAATGTTCTAATAGTTTGTTGTAGGGGTGTGATAGTAAGAAATGTGATAACTGTCCTTTTTAATCTTGATACTAGATGTAAACTTGAGTAATATTTATGAAAAGTATTCTATGTTTTAACTTGTTTATATTAAGTCATACTGGAGCCTAAGACTATATGGCAAATTTCAAATACATGAGTAGAAATGTTCAGTGATTTAAATCCTTTAATATGACTTTAATTTGAGAGTATAAAAGCATAGGTAAATCAATCAGATATGAAAAGAACAGAACCTTTTAGAGTAGTTTTCTCAGATCTGAAATTGAAATAATAAAATGATAGATTTAACTTGAGGTTCTGAGAGTACAGTTTGGGATAAATTTTAGTTTTTAAGCTGTGGCTTTTTTAATTGAAGAATCTGAGACCATATTTCAGTGTTTAAATGTTACTTCATTTAAAGCAAATACAGTAGCTCGTTAAATCCATTCAGTTTGTAAACCATCATTGGGAGTCAACTTTGTAGCATTATAGTGTTG